TTTTTTTTTTTTTTTTTAACTGTTTAGAACTTTACAAACATGGATCATGTGCCCCAATGAGGTAGCATATGCCATAAAATGCCTGAATTTGTATTAAGATGTAAAAAATAATTTAAAAATTGCCTGTTAAACTTTCTTATTGAAGGAGTGGTACAGTTGCATGCTAAATGTAGCATAAATAGGTATTTTTACGCACCTTCAAGTCTTGGCCCCTGTTACAGGTCATTATGAAGCTTGTCAGAAGGTATGAAACCTAAGAGATACACCTCCCAAGAACTGCACTGGCTGGATGACTGCCTCCATTTCACTGAAAGCCAAATTTACCCAGGACACTATGCAGTGCCCATAGCACGTACACATGCCCAACCTAGTTTTCTGTTTTAAAAAAAAAACAAACACAAACAAGAGGGAAGATGCGGCTCACTGCATGACCCGATGGATACCACAGCACAATGCAGACGTCTAATCTCAAGAACTGTAAAGCTGTGCACCTGATTTATAGGTGACAGCTGCCTTTCCTCAGATGACCGAGGCTGACAAGTTCTGCTGACTCTTCTGGATGCTTCTGCAGCCAGCAGTTTATCAAGAGGTAAGGCAATTGCCACTTTGCTGCTAGGGTAACTGGAGTTATTACATGCTGAATAACAGCCCATACAAAGACTTACTTTACTGAACACTTATCTTACCGGTTCACCAAGTTCCTTGAGCGTACTCTTTAGTTTAACTATTTTCTGATCCTGATCAGCCAGAAGCACCAAGAGATCATCCTGTTCTTTCTTTGATTCTGCCACTTCTTGCTGTAGCTTGCTTTTTTCATCTTGTAAAATGGCAACTGTACTGTTGGATGAGTCCAGCTGCTGTTTCAGGGTTGCTTTTTCCTCAGAGAGAGCTTTAACTTCATTCTGGCAGTAGTCACAAAAACAGCTAAGTTACTAACATGCAAACCACAGATCATTCTAAATGCAGACTGGTTTGATCAACAGAAAACACTGTCTGTGCCTAGGAACTCTATATAGCTGCCACTATGCTCTGCTCAAAGTCTAGCTTCAAGTTCACTGTCAAGGGTCACTATTCCCCTTCAGTCACAGCTCCCCAAGGGAAAAATCATATACAGGTAGAGACCAGCCAGAGCAGGAGAACAAGGGGATTTGCCTTCACCTGTCATGGAGACAAAAGGCTTAACATCTGAGGAGGGTGCTCTCTGCAGACCAGAGAGAGGGCTCAAAGATGTAGCTTGCCCAGGACTAACACAAGGACATCCTGGCCCAAATCCAAGCAGAAAATCCTCACAGGATTGCCACTGCAGCAACAATCCCTGCTATTCAAAACATGTAAAAAGCTAATCTGAAGAATGCTTCCAAGCTAGGTTTGGTCCTCTCTTGTTTTATGGTCTTTAAGGAAGGCTTGGAAGATTCACCCCTCCCCTACAGACAGCCACTCTTCATTGCTACAGGAAAACAAGGAATGCAAATTCTGATCTATTCTGATTTTTCTGGACGTCTCAGGATAAACATTTTGAAGTAGTGTTTTGTTAATACGCTAATGTTAGAGTTATAAAAGGTGTGCCCTTCATGAAGGCTTTCTGTATCTGAAATGTCAACAAAATTAAATACATTCAGAAAAATAAGAGTTAAATGGAAACTGGAAATCCAAAATCTTTCCAACCTAACCTGACCTAACATTTCTAAAGTTAAAACACTAAAACTTTCTCAATGTATTCCAGGGAAGTCAAGTATCCCCAAAATCATTCCTCAATTTGGCAGATCATCTTTAAGACTGCAGTACTTCACGTAAGTGATCAAACTGAATACTCAGTTATTTAAGGTGTGGACACAAACAACACTTAGACCAATTTAAATGACATTGAAACCTGAAGCAGACAGACACACAAGCCTGTGAAACCAGTTTAAAACTGTCTGGAAAGCTAAAAACATGTCAGATACCCCACCCCCACTTCCTAGGCAAAGCCTTTTTATTCTGGAATCCTTACAGTTATATAGGGCCATTTTCCTCACTAAGTACCTGTGAAGTACTGAGATAACCCTTTTCCCCCACGACAATATGGGCTACTGATCTGCCATTCAAGCTGTGTGTAAATGACTGTCCCAGATCTATTCTGATGCAAGTCAAAGCCCAGGACAATCAGACCCAAGATAAACCTGACATCTTTTTAGCCAAACAGTGCAAAAGTACATTTACATAAATAAATAAAATATAAAATATAATAAAGTAAAATAAAAAAAAAATCAAGTACCCTTTTGAATCAGTTCATTGTGACCTCACACCCTTAGCCTACGGGAACCCAAAAGCATGGGGCCAAGTATTTGTGTCCCCACCCCAACTCTGCTCCCCCAAAGTCAATTGCAGGCTGCTGAAATGTACTGAACTCGGGAGAGAAGGACAAACAAAAACACGGAAATGACCCCAGCTACAGGCCACCCACCCCCAGACATCACAAGCACTCCCTCCTACTTGCCTACGGAGGCATGCAGGGCTGGGTGCTCACTCTCACCTCCAGGTGTCAGAGCCACAGCACTTCACACACAATTGTGAACCAGTTTCCTAACAGTGACATTCAGGAGGGGTTCAAACTGCTACACGTGTCTGCATCCTTACTATTTCAGTAGTGACTGACCTTCAATTCCTTTATCTCCTGTGATAGCCTTCCCTCCAAATCTGTGTTCTTTGCTGCTGGCATAGCACCATCTCCCAATATGGGAACTGTAGTCATGTTCTGTGGAAAGAAAATTCAGTTCCAGAAGCAGGTAATCTCCCACACTCTCATAGGTTAAAGATTTCTTTCAGCCCATTACACATTTAAAAGTAGGGGTGGGCAAAATACAGCTTGCAGGCGGGAACCAGACCACCAATGGATTTTGTCTGGCCTGTAGCGGGTCCCTCAGTCCCACCCAAGACAGGCGCAGGAGGGCAACCTATGCCATGGTGCACGTGGGTTGTCTCGCCGTCCCCAGGAGCACAGTGGGACTGGGCCAGCACGGCATTTGGATTCAATTTCCAGTAGCCCCAGCAGCAGCTCCTTGTGGCTGCTGTTGCCACCAGGCCTGACCCCACTGCCTGGGCACCCTGGCCTATTTGCCCTGCACTCACTGCCAGGGGTGGGACCCACACAGGCAGAGTGCATGGCCAGGTGGACAGGATGGGGCTGCAAGCAGGCAGGGAGCACTGTCCAGGAGCAGGACAGATGGGTATGGCCAGGATCATAGGGCAGTATCAACGCAGGGCCAGGGCCTGGGGCAGAGCTACGATCTGCTACCTGCACATCTTTGTGATGGGTGCTGGTTCCATGGGCAGGAGTGTGTGGGGATGTGATTGCAGCTCTGCCCTGGGCCTCAGCCCTGTGTTGTCACCACCTCAGAATCCTGGCCCCATCCTTCTGTCCTGCTTCTGGAGGCAACTGCCTTCCTGTCCACGGCCCATCCTGTCCGCCTGGCCATGCACCCTAGCCATGGGGGTCCTGGTCAGTCTCCATGGAGACCCCATGATTGCTGGGCTGTGAGAGTATGGGACTGGGACCTGGGGCAGAGCCACAATCCACTCCCCACAAGCCCCTGCCTGTGGAATCAGTGCCCCTTACATGGCTGTACAAGGAGCAGATTGGAGCTCGGCCCCAGCCCTGCATTGTCACTGCCCCACAGTCCCAGCCCCAGCCCTGCCCAACCATCCTGCTCCCAGATGCTGCTCCGTCTGGATATGGTCCCAGCTGTCAGGCTGAGCATGGAGCAGAGTTTGAGTGAGCTGTCGTGAGAAGCTGGATGGGGCAAAATATGGTGACCCAGCCTGCAACAGCTCACCAAAACTCCCTAAGTGGCCCTCCAGCCCAAATAATTGCCCACCCCTGATTTAAAGTGTATTTGAAAGCATGCTGGCACAGAAAGCACAAATGAAAAGCGATATTTTTATACCAATTAAAGCCAGAAGATAAACTTAGTTCATCTAGTCCAACACTTCTTGTACACACACCATTCAAGTTTTCCCAAAATACTCTATATCAAGCCAAAAGTATTGGTGTAAATTATTGGTGTAATAATTTACACCAATTATTTTATTCCCTTGCCATGCGACAGTACTCCAAACAGCATTATTTTTATTTATAGGCATTCAAACCCACAACAAAGATTTCTAAGAGAGACTCCTTTGGGTTCCATGAGAACTATCCATAAGGCAGGTACATCAAACGTGTACCTCATTATTGACCCTGCATGCTAACCCGAGCACAAGGAAAAGCAGGCAGTCAATACACTGGACCAGGGGTGTGAAACTCATCCAGTCTCATGGACTCGTACCCTTTAGCATAATCTATCTGTGCAGTCAACAGGCCTTGTTGATAAGAGTTTATGATGTAAAGGAAAGTTAGTTTTCTCTAAGCTCATCAAAGAATAAAAAGGCAGTATTCTACACATACATCCGTTCTGTAAGAACAAATTCTTCTTTTTCTCATCAGACATCTACTAAATAACATCTTTTATGCAATATCATGTTGGGTGAGAGAAGAGAAAAGTGAGACCCCAGCATAAATCAGGAATAACTCTACAGATGTCAAAGTTGCATCAAATGAGGGCTTGTTCTAAATATATTCTTTATCATCATCACACACACCCCTCCCTATATAGATACATCTATCCATCTGTACAGACATATTGAAAGAGTTTTCTATATTACTCAGTAAAGCAAGGATAATAGGGTTACCATTTGTTGTAGCAGCTCCTGCTTCTCAGTGTGAAGTTTAGATATTTCTGTGCACTGTGACTGTACTTGCGTCCTCAATGTTTCTAGTTCCTATGGTAAAAATGAAGAGTTACTGTTCCTCTCTAAAAACTCTTAGTAGTAAACAATGACAAAAGCTACCTTTTTTGCTAGTACGAGCTACAAAATGTGCATCACACTTATTCAGAATAGCTGTGGAAAAAGAGCAGCATGTCTACTAAAAACAGAGCAACCAGCTGTCTAGACATGTTAGCAAGAACTCTCAAGGATGTAATACTTGGCACAGCTAAGAACCTCAAGTAGTTCTTGGGGGGGAACAAAACTTTCAATAAAATGCAGAACTTTGCAGCCTTTTTTTTTGAGGCTTGCTTCAATTAGCATAGCAAGCAGAACAGGCTCTCATATGCATGTTCTTTTTTTCCTGAAAAATCTTCAAGTGCAAATTATCTAGAGCAAAACATTTATCAACTCAAATTCTTCAACAATTCCCTTGCTTTATAACTGGGAGAAAACTAAGAGTGAGATTCTTTCAGGGGCAAAAGATAGTTTTACTTGGTCACTTAACAGACAAGATACGTGAATTGGTCTTTTCTGATGTGAAAAAAAAGAGACTCAAAATGCCAAATTTATATCAGTTTAAGAGACGTGCTGTGCTATGCAACTGTTGTTAATAGGCAATCCATTGTCAGAATTTTCAGTTTCTCCACCAACTCAATTCACTGCAACACAAGCAATACTGGCGATTTTTTGTGTTCAGAATAATTTAAATCAGTATGTAAGGTAAGGTCCCTGAAACAAACTGACATGCTTTGCAACCCATTTTGTGCTCTCTGAAGGTAACTGAAGTTTGACTGAAAACTGTCTCCCCATCTTAGAATACTACCAATAATTGCCCATTTGGTGACTGCACATCAACTATTCTGAAGCTACACAAAAGAAAGGCCGATTGCTATTCATAAAGCAGCAAGAATTCTCACCTTCTGCAAGTCATTATCATGCTCCAAACCACCATATTTATTTGCCTGAGAAAACTGTTCTGTTCCTGGTTCTAACTGCGAAGACTTCTATAAGGGGAGAAACCAAAAAACCATAAAAAGTTTTACCACATTACACACTGATCAAATAATTACTCACCTGTTATCAGAACTGTTCTTTGATAAAGCCTCTGCACTTTTACACTCAGGCTGAATGCAGTAACAGTACTGCGTGAATCTATCTATAACAGTAAAGAAACCTCTCTTTCACTTCACTCCCCCAAATCAACAAACCAAATAATCCAATCTGCATGGAGATAAAGGGGATGACATGCATCAGTCATCTCAGTACCTCCCATTACCTTCTCTCCCAGCTTGAATCTAGATTGCTCAGACTTGAAAGACATGAAGCATGACAGCTCTCTAACAACCCTTGTTATTACAGACTAATAACTTTGCTTTAGTCTTTGAGTGGCCTCTGCACATTCCCACTGATATGAAATGGACAAACAACACCCTTCCACCATACTTCCACCAGACACCAGCATCTGAGATAGAGAATACCAGGAGGTTCGCAACACACTCAGCATAGCTGCAAATCTATGTCTCAGTAGACAGCTCAAAGATTTTTACTTTTCAGAAGAATTTAGTTTACCTAATGCAAAGAAAAGTGACTGAAATTTTATTAAAGCAAACAACAAACAGAGTCCTAACACCTCCTGCTGGAGCCATCAAAATAACTCCTGCATTCCAAGGAAGTGAGAAAGGCAGTGGAGGCATTTGGAGCTTTTTTGTGTCTGTTTGTCTGTTTTACACCCCCACAGGACTGTTTAGAGCCAAAAGGAGTCTCTGGCAGGGGGCTTAGCTTCTGGAAAGCTATCCCACCAATGCATCCTAATAAATGAAAAACTTCAGAAGCCTTTCAAAGAAAAGCAAGGATTACTTGCTGGGAGATGTGCCTCTCCCCCACCTGGAACCCTGCCTTCATGGTTGTATGTATATACATTTCAGGAGGTCACTGGAAGTCTTCTTCATGCCAAGAGTCTTGGATGTAGATGTTTAGAGAGTTCAACTTGCAAAGAAGGCTTTAAGTATCAATAAAGAAGCTAAGTTCCCTTTACATACACTATATAGGGCTCAAAAGTCACAACTTTGGGTGTCTCTACTCTAGTCAGTGGATTCAAACCATATTTAGTCAACAACATTAAGGGTGCCTACAGACGTTTAGGGCCCTGCTCTAACTCATGATGCTTTACATAAAGTGCCATGAATTAGTGCTCCCCCTTCCTGACCCACAATTCTACCCCATCCCTCCAGCTCTGGCCAGGCAGCTCCATGCTGACACTGTCAGGCGACCTGGGTGGGGGATGGGAGCCCCCCTAGTCTCAGGTCCAGCCCAGCTGTTCCCACCCTGCCTCCCACCCCTCCAGTACTGCGGGGGGGGGGACGGACAAGGCAGGAAGACTGTTCCACCCTGCCTGCCCTGCCCCCTGCCCCGGCCAGGCAAAGAAACCAGGAGCTCCCTGCTGGCTGTTCCAGCTCATATTCCCTCCTTCCCTGCTCCCTCCAATAGCCACAGGGATGGGGCTGGGCTGGTGCTCACCAGTGCAAGCACCAGCCCAGTCCCAAAGTGGGAAAAATTAACCCTGAAGGAATGCAAGTTCCCAAAGACACGCTGCTTTAGAATGCCTTAATGTAATACCTCATTTGACCAGGGTTAACTTTTTGCATGATTGGCAATTTTAAAAGTGCTTTGCAGCCATGTATGTGTGTTACATCACAGCTGTAGAGCACTTTCAGGGGCCTGATCTCACAAAAAACTTATGTAAGCTCCCTAAGTGCTTCTGTCCACATGCCACTTGTCC